ACCCAGAACAGAACCAAGGGGAACACCAAAATACAGATGTCATGTTTGTTATTTACACCACAGTTGTCAGGATTGGGGAATATTAGGACTCAAATTAGGGACTAGAGAAGGGATTTGAGAAGGAACTTGAGAGGGGACTTGAGAGGGGACTTGAAAAGAGACTTGAAAAGGGACTCAAGAGGGGACTTGAGAAGGGACTTGAAAAGGGACTTGAGACGGCCGGACCGCCGACAGCCTCTGATTGTGTTACGTTATTATGAGAGTGCTCTCATACTTGTTTGATTCTGAAATGGTATTTATATAAATATATGTGTGTGTATATGTCCGCATCTGTAGCCTGTTAATGTCTCATTATACCGCACAGTGAATTAATTCAAAGTAAATATATAAGTAATCATGAACACAGTTCTGTCCATCAGACAGTGCTGCTGTGCCTCCTGTCATCATTACTGGACGTCTCTTTAAAATGACCGCTCAGAGGAGAGGATTTCTCATTTCTCTAAACGCCTGCAGTTTTCACTCCTCTCTCCTCAGTTCCCCTCCTCGATTCCTCCGCTCGCATCTCCTGTGGGCGGGACTAAGACACGAGGATAGGAGTCGAGGAGGGGAGTTGAGGAGGGGAAATTAGATAATTGAGAAGCCTTCAATCAGACACAGGAGGGCAAACACAGGAAGGAAGACCATACACATGGAGAACAGAATTTCAAAATAAAACCATGACAAGACAGACAAAACTCGGGAGGATGGCCCGGGGGCAAGGCAGAGGAACAGGAGGTGGTCTCGGGCAGACGGCCCGGGGGTAAGGCAGAGGACCAGGAAGGGGTCTCAGGCGGACGACCCGGGGTCAAGGCAGAGTTCATGGATGGAGTCTCGGGCGGACGGCCCGGTGGCACGGCAGAGGCAGAGAAGAGCCGGGCACAAGGACGGGCCGGCAGGGCAGAGTTCGTTGCCGGCGGAGCCACTGGCGGAACAGGTGCAATGGGAGGAACCAGTGTTGTCCGGACAGGAACCCTGGACGGGACATGTGCTGGTGCCAGTGGGACCCCGGACGGAGCAAGGACCGGCATCGACGGGACCTCCAACAGGACAGGACACGGTGCCGGCAGGAAACCCGGCGGAGCAGGTGTCGGCGGGACCCCCAACAGGACAGGACCTGGTGTTGGCAGGAAATCCGGCGGAGCAGGTGTCGGCGGGACCTCCAACAGGACAGGACGTGGTGCTGGCAGGAAATCCGGCAGAGCAGGCGTCGGCGGGACCCCCAACAGGACAGGACACAGAGTTGGCAAGACCCCCAGTGGAACCCCCAACGAAACAGGACATGCAGTTGGTAGGACCCCCGACGAAACAGGTGTCGGCTGGACCCTCAATGGAACAGGACATGGAGTTGGTAGAACCCCCGATGAAACAGGTGTCGGCGGAACCCCCAACGACACAGGACATGGAGTTGGGACATGAGTTGGTAAAGTTGAAAAGGGACTCGAGAGGGGACTTGAGAAGGGACTTGGAAAGGGACTTGAAAAGATACTCGAGAGGGGACTCGAGAAGGGACTTGAGAAGGGACTTGAGAGGGGACTCGAGAGGGAACTAAAGAGGGGATTACAGAAGGGACTAGAGATGGGACTTGAGAAGGAACTTGAGAGGGGACTCGAGAGGGGACTCGAGAGGAGAGTTGAAAAGGGACTTGAGGGAGGACTTGAGAGGGTACTCGAGAGGGGACTGGAAAAGAGACTTGAAAAGGGACTCAAGAGGGGACTTGAGAAGGAACTTGGAAAGGGACTTGAGAGGGGACTTGAGAAGGAACTTGGAAAGGGACTTGAGAAGGGACTTGAAAAGGGACTCGAGAGGGGACTCGATAGGGGACTCGAGAGGGGACTCGAGAGGAGAGTTGAAAAGGGACTCGAGAGGGGACTCGAGAGGGTACTCGAGAGGGGACTTGAAAAGAGACTTGAAAAGGGACTTGAGAGGGGACTTGAGAAGGGACTTGAAAAGGGACTCGAGAGGGGTCTCGAAAAGGGACTTGAGACGGCCGGACCGCCAACAGGAGACGAGGACCTGGAGCCGGCCGGCACACCGACAGGACACGGGGGGCCGGCGTCGGCCGGAGAGCCAACAGGAGACGGGGAGCTGGAGTCGGCCGGTACACGGACAAACAACAAAAATCTAAAATCATGACAATAGTCTAAGTGTTCCCAAAAAAAACGTTTTCTGTTGTACCCCAGAACAAAGGTTTTAAGTATGTAGCTAACATGTAAGCGAGCTGTAAATGAGGACTTCCACATTTAAGGTCTGACCATTTAAAGCGGTCTGACCCCGAAAAAAATAAAGTATATATAAAGGTTGGAGCTATTGCTACCAGAAAACTGTCAATAATGTTATATAATTCAAACTGATTTCTGCGAAAAAAGGTCACACTTTTACTTTTAACATTTTGCTGGTAATTCTGAACTTTTTGTAGTTTGTAATGGAGTATTTTTGCATTGTTACTATGTACTTTGGTCTTTCCCAATCTACTGTATCTTCCAATCCTCGAGAATACCTGTGTAGGTGTTTTCTCAGGTTTGATCCCACGCTTTGATCCGTTCACGTTTTCCTTTATCTGTTTTCCCCCCACAGCTTAGCCTCTCTGCTCTTTGTCAAGTCAGCATCGAGTCAGACCCACCATCAGCGTCACATATTCCCAGCATCACACACATAAACAAAACCCCACACACACACATATCCCTTTCTCACTCTATTATCCCATGTCCTCAGTGCAAACACAAACAAGCTAATGGAGAAGCAGGTGTCCTTCTACTGGGATAAATAAACAGTAAACCAGGATCCAGGAGCAGAAGGTTGAGAGAGAGAGAGAGAGAGAGAGAGAGAGAGAGAGAGAGAGAGAGAGAGTGAGAGGGGGGGGAACGGGGGATTGCTGTTAGTTTCTCTCTCAATGAGTGTTTGTAGGGAGAAACTTTGAATATCGCTGATAGCATCTTTAAAGCTCCCACTGTCTCTTACAAAGCTGTTTGTTTTCAGTCATTGTGTTTCTTTGATCTCTTGTTTTTTTATTTAAGGTTTTATTGTACATTCATGTTTATGTTTGACCTTTTTTATCACAATCATCCCAGCTAGCAGAGGATTAGGAAAGTTACAGTCAGATAAAAAAATATGTATGTCACAACAGCTCAAAATGTATGGAACGATAAACTTGTTTTACTTTTGCAACAATTTAAGAGTATCTGTTTTATGAACCCCTATTGACAGTAAATTGTTAACCGTTAAGAGTGGCCCTCTTGATTTGTTTACATGCTAATTTCAACTTTTTGTTGGCACTCTTTCGATGATTCTGGAGGTTTCGGGGCTAATTTGCCTGTTGTTCGCAGCTGTGCAGGCTGATGGTAATCCTCCAGGACGATATAAACAGTGTTCTTGTCATCATCCTGTAACTATGATACAGGTGGCAGTTTTACTCTTTAAAAGGAAGATAAAGGTTGACCCAGCTGTATTAAATCAACTCACAGCCATATGGAGGAAAATGTAATATTGCATTTTGCATATATTGTATTTTGTCATAGATTTATGATTAAGTCTCTTGGTGCCCTTAACAGATGTCGTGGATAAATAATAGATAAATACACTTCACCCAAACTCACTTACCTGCTTTTACTTCATATTTACTTGTAATGTATGTTATTTATTAAATCAAAAGAGGCTCTACAGTACGATATAAATGGACAGCTAGAGCTTTTTAGGATTTATAGACTTTTTTTTCAACCTAAGCACAGGATCTGTGTCAGAAAAGCTGTAATAAGATCACCATGAAATCACATTACAACCAGAAGTCTCTTTAACAGTATGAAACATAATTATGGTCTTGGGTTATATCTAAAACACCAAACCGATGTATGTGCCAATACTGTCATTTTTAAAGAGAGAATATAAAAATGAAGGTAAAATAGGTAAGCATACACAATTTTCCAAGTCTGAATGTTCTTCTAAAAAGGCTGTAAATATGCTCACTTTTTCTGAAGTCTAATTTTCTCTTTAGATACACCTTACATTTCTAAAATTATAAAAGAGTGCAGCCTTTTGGATTTTGTCCCCTTTCTTTTACATTGGAAACCTGTTACAGATTGATTTCTTAATGGCTACAGCAAGTACAACTGTTTCAATGTTCAACACATTTTGAACCAATCCTTTAATTCAGATTCTTTGTACAAAAAAGCATTTTATGTAGTTCCACCCTTCTCTTGAGCTCCTTTCCCATTTAATGTTTCTGCTAATTTGCAAGTGTTGTTGTTGTTGTTTTTCTGATTGAAAATAGTGTTATGTTGAATTTGTATTTAGTTGCCATTTAGGGTCATTTTAGTTTTTATCCTTCAGTATTTTAATCACCTTCTTAAATACCTTTAATCATCTCTATGCTTTTCATGAATTAGGCAGGCTTTTATGAGATATATCATACTTTCCATGTCCACTTCATTAGGTACACAATCGCATGCAAACCAGTATCTACAACAACTCTGACACTTTTTTATTGCTGAAGTCGTAGTTAATGGTGATTAATAAATACATGTGTTTTCAATAGTCCTGTGAATCAACTGTGCACAACATTTGAAACACATTTATATTGCAGTCAATTTCAACACTAATACAAACTACGCCCTCAAAAATCAACTGCAGTTAAATCCATGCTTCTCTGGTAGTGTCAATCAAAACATGGAGTTTCTATCTATCTTTTTTTAAGCTATTGCATTGGATTGCATTAACTGTTACAGGTGCACCTTAACACCAACGTCTGTTTGTCTCCCAATAAATGACCCAACTTAAAAATCAGAGCGGTTGCACCCTGCTCCTCCTCTGGCTCACCCCGAGTCTCTCTCCAGCTCTCAGGTATAGGCCACCAGCTGAGCCAATCACAGCCTATAGGAGCCTCAATTGACAGTTTGGACACGCCCTCCCTCCACCTGTAATCCAATCCGGTGGCCTGTCACAGGTAAAACCGGCCTTAATTTCTCAGCATTGCCCAAAAAAGCGAGAAAAGCCGACAAAACCCGTTCTCTCACTAGGGAAACCTTGTTTATTGCCGCGGCCCTCATACAGTGTTAGCGGCGCAGTTTTCCACCCAAAGAAGACGGATCGGATTTTCAGTACCAACTAGAAAGTCCAGTTCGACCGACCGAGATGTCACAGGAGCATGACAAGTAAGTTGCCCTGACTTTCCACTTTAGCCTGTACAACGAGCACGAGTCACTATAAGCTGTTATTATTGACACTAACTATATTTAGTGTTTTTATTTTGTGAGTTCATGGCACAGGGGGATTTTAAATCAGTCATACTGTGGTTCACATCCGACCCGCAGCTGCTGTCTACTTTTATAAAATCTGATATTTAAGGATTATTTTGTAGGATTTCTTATTAGGTTTATTTTTTAAGTTGACTTTAAGACTTGGCTTCCAAGCTGGGAAGCGATGATATCTCATAGTTTCCCATGGTGTAACTGCGCTCGTTTCACCTGTCATGTTCAAGCCTGCACAGGTGTATCTTCACCTGTCGTGCGAGCAGAGTCTGGCTGTGGGAATAAAAACGGTCCCGTGATAGCGATGCCTGGGCGGTTTAGTGTTTGATTTCGCTTGAAGCCCTAACAGTTATGTGGATAGTCTTAATGATGTTTGTTCAGGAATAAATATGGACCTCAGCAAGGAGCTGTCAGCTAAAGAAAACTGAAGAAAGTGTCATATTCATGTAAGATTTTGGAATCAACAGTTTCACTGACATGTATTTAAACAGAGGTATATGTTTTATGTTAAATGCTTAGCTCATATTCTGTATGTTTTTGAGGGCAATGACAAGGAGACTTTGGAGGGGAGTGAAATCATACACCTGCTAGGCGTTGGCTCAACTTTACTAACAGAGACAATGTAAGCAAGCACAGGGCCATATGAGGTTTTTGAGGATTTTACTTTACAGGACCAAAATGTTTTGGGTGTCAAACATGTAAGATTACATGCACATTTCTCTAAATGTTAAATAATATGGGTTTTTTTCATACTAGGGTATATAAAAAAAGTGAAAGTCTATGAATTCATGATGCATTACTGACTTGGATATGGAATCTAATTTTAATATCTGTCTGAAAAGCAATCAAACTCTTAATTTGTTGTATTAGTAATGGAATACTTGAGTTTTATTGCCAGTAAATAAAGGGTCTTATCAGGTTGCCTTTTATGAATAGCACAATTACATATAGGATTACTAATTATCACTTTGCCTTGACCATTGAGAAGAAAAAAGCTGTTTGTTGTAGATACTCAACATGGAAACTGAGCCAGTCCGTTTACACTAAATCATTATTACTTTGTTGTGGTAGAAAACCAAGCAGATGGATTTGGTAGAAAGGTGATTCAAGGAATGTAATTTCGAAAGTTTGACAAGGAAATCTAATGAAACTTATGAGCTTGAGTAATGACTAAACTTTACTACTAAAGTAAATAGAAGACGAGCAAACATTACTGTAAATAGGTAAGTTCAGTGGTAACTCTTCAATAATTCTCACTTATTTGAAATTGATCCTATAGTCCTTTCAAATTAAAGGTGTTTACCTGAGTGAAATGAGCTCGTTATAACACATTAAGACAATTAGTAGCAGATGAGACACAGAAACTGGAGCTGTTGTGTCCTGTTTGCAAAGCAATTACTCAAAAGGCCTCCCGAGAACGAAAAGGAAGATACATTCTTTGACTTTGAATAAAAACTCATGATTCTCTACAAAAACAGAAGCATGGCGCAGGAATGTGGCAGAGTCAGTTGCGTCACTTGCGGTCAGCTTCTCAGCCAATGAGCAGTCCCAGAGGAGAAGCGTAAAGTCGTCACACTAGACGAGCCTGTAGAGCATCTTTCGCTCAAGACAGCGCAGTGGTTCGATTGGCTGAGATTTGTTGCACAATCGTTGAAAAGCTTGAACAACAAGTCTAACAGATAAAGAACATACAGGGTTGATCTCTTGCTCTTATAACCTGTTTTTCTGTTCTGAACAAGGTTGTGATTGTAGGTCTTGGCTTTGTGAACTTATATGAAGTCAGAGAGGAGAATCAATCTGTTCAATGCTTGAGGAGAGGCTCATAAAGGGCGGCACAAAATATCTTTTTTTCCTCCTCTCCAAATCAAGTTGCACAATGAAATACATTGCGAACGATTGCAATATATTGCACTTAGGGCTTTTTTGTCTTTGTTGAAAAGAAATCAGTAGAAAAGAGCACTTTTAAATGATCTAACTGAGGCATAACTGACTACGACTGCTTTGTCTTAATCGTAAATAATATCATTTTCACAATATTCAACGTTATCACATATATTTACCTCAAATGGTGAAGCCCTAAAAAAAGCATGTGACAAAGTGTTTGCGATGGAAATAAGCATTTACATCTTAATAATTGGTTTGTATATAACCTATGACACTTTCTCTCTTGCAGTAAGCGTGCGGTCCTGGTTCTCCAGAACGAGCCGGGTTATGGCGGGCAGCGTCGCTCCTTCACCACAGAAGATGAAGCCTGGAAATCCTTTCTGGAGAACCCGCTGACGGCCGCCACCAAGGCCATGATGAGCATCAACGGAGACGAGGACAGCGCCGCAGCTCTGGGCCTGCTCTACGACTACTACAAGGTAGAAAACTAATGAATCTAACAACCACACCATGCAGGAATTCAACTTTCTGAGCTATTTCCTTTTGAATTCTCAGTGGATCTGGAAGCAATCGAAAGTGCAAATCTTAGGTCTGGGGACTAGTTACCAAATCCTTACATGCCTTACCTATAATGGTCTCACTCTATACTGACATAGGACCCTGAAGCAAACATCTGTGAGGCAGAGCATGTCATGTAACTGATCTATAGACAGCAGGATGATTTGGCTTGTTGGAAGTGATGTGGTCAGACGCTGAGCGGCTGTGTTTACCCTCCCATACAGGTGCCCAGGGAGAAGAGAACAATAACCCAGAACAAGCCAGAAGCACTGGTCTGTGATGTGGATCCTAACAAAAGGTAAGCAACAGCCCTCGTCTAGTACCACCCCCCTTTTAAAAATTAAAACCGTGAAAAAGCAGAGAAGCTCTTTCCTGGTTTTTGAGTTTTGTGTGTACTTCTGCATATATGAGTGAGCAGGACGAAGCAATCTTAATCTTTTTCTGAATCTGCACACATATTCATTTTTGGAGTAGCATAACAAGTATTTACAGAAGGAAAACAGCCTTGTTTTCAGCTGTTTAAGAGTCCAGGCCTGAGATTAAAACATATTCACATTCAGACAGTCACACAACCAAGTGGCACCAAAATAACTAATAATAACAGTGTCATAAAAGTGAAACATAAAGCTTTAAAGTCTCAAAAGAGAATACAATCATTTTCCTTGAGAGTTGTTCAATTCATTTTAAGCACCTGAATCCAAGATGATCACTTACTTATCCCCAAAAGGCAATTGGTTGTTCAGCAGTGAAACCCAAAATTATAAAGACAGAGAGCACATGAACACATATGCATATACAACAGCAACAAATGTAAGGGTTAAAAGTAAGCAAATATAACTTAAACATAAAAATTGTTATATTTAATGTAATTAAATTTTATTTGCTGCAGACACCAGATCCAGGCCGGACACTCCATTGCGCCACATCACGAAGGGGGGATGGAGAACAGGATCCAGGTCCTCAAGGGCCCCTTTAATATTCTCCAGCTGGCCCCGGACAAGAGATCCCAGTTCCCCTCCCCAGGTCTGTTCACATTCAATAACACAAAGAGCCACAAGGAGCTTTTAAAAAACAGAAAACCTGATTGTAAATGTTCTGATATTTCCCTTCCCAGACACAACCGTCACGGTTTCTGTCGCTGTGCCGAACTACCCGTCCGTCAAGACAGAGGTGCCCTCCCACGGCTTCTCAGTGACCGTGCCAAACAACTGTCCCGAAACCGACGTCTTTGACCGCCAGCTCAACCACAACACGGTACAGTTCAGCCCCAGCACCCAGTCCCGCACGCCCCCCGACTCCACCTACTCCGAGAGTTACAAGGATGGTTCCCAGGAGGTGTGTGTTTCGATCCCCCTCTTTCTAAACCTCCCTAATGCTCTCCCTCGCTTTCCTCTCCTCTTCGCTCTCGGATCTCTCCCAACACACAATGGGATATTCACCCGATCCCATGGAGCCAGCGGTGGGCTCAGCCTTCCCTGGTTTTATTTGAACATGCCAAAATAGCGGCCAGTGTGTTATTATGCCATTGTCTCACCAACACAATAAAGTGCTGTACTTTTCTCCTACAATAGCCAAAGCCCTTTCTCTCTCTCTCCTCGTTTTCTATTTAGCTGGAGGGAAATTACCTTCGAATAGAGTAACCCGACAAAACCCCTGTACAGGAGGGGGTTGGGGGGTTTAGCAACGTGAGGGTAGAGCCATTGAAACTAAGAGAAATGGGGATGAACAGATTAATTAAATCTACAGAAACTGTTCATTCACACCAAAACCCAGACTGGGAAATAGTGTCTGTGACCTGATTCAAATGTTATACCATGCTTCCCTGTGGCAACTTTAGATATTTATAACTAATAATTATGTTTAGTTCATTAATACATTTGTATTTACTTGTATTCAAATCTTTATTTATCTATATAGGTGAGGGGGATATTCAAACGACAGTTAATGAATGTCATGCTGCATGTGAATAAACAAGAATGACATGGTTGTATACTAATGTTAAAAAGATCCCAGTTCCGTATAAAATACGTGTGCAGAGGCTTATAAGTTGCTGTTATATGCTTATCTCTGGTACTGAAACTCAAATACTGTTTTAAGTTGTGGAAGAAATAGATGTATATCCCTATGGAGTGCTAAATTATAATAGTCCCCTGGTGAATTATAGAAATAAATAAATCATGTTTAGTATCCTCTTTTTGCTGAGCCTCACTTCACACTGTCGATCTGTTTATCTTTGTGTGCTGCAGGTGTTTTCTTTCCCAGGGGATCTCCAGTTACGCATGTCCTCCATGGCGCCTGAGGACTACACTCAGTTTAACACTGTGCCGGGGTAAGTTGCGCTGCCGCCAGCCCACCGCCCGACTTCCACCGCCATTCAGCTTTTTAACACAACACCGCAGAATGGCCTCATTCATGGCAGTCACAGGGGAGACACCAGACTCCCCACCGCGTGAAAGACAAGAGTCGGCACACACAGGCGTTATCTGGCCCTACACACTGATTTCAAGATCGCAGTTTACCTGCAGCGGCTGAATGAAGCGTGCACCATTATGTCTAACATGTATCCGAATGCCATTGTTGCATTGTCATCCAGTTTTACAGACAAGAAATGCCTTTGATTCATGTTTTATTGTTGTGTTATTTTAGGAACAACTTCGAATACACCCTTGAGGCGTCCAAGTCTCTGCGTCAGAAGACAGGAGACGGGACGATGACGTACCTCAACAAGGGCCAGTTTTACCCCATCACCCTCAGGGAGGTTAACAACAAAGGAATGCGGCAACCCATCACCAAAGTCAGGGTAAGGAAAGGAACATCACAAATAAACCTGGCACAACATACGATTTACATATGATCATTATTGTAACCTAATTTATGTTTCATTGTGTGTGTTTATGCATTTTCAGAGTGTAGTGATGGTGGTGTTTGGAGAGGAGAAGTGCAGAGATGATCAGCTTAAGCACTGGAAGTACTGGCACTCCAGACAGCACACTGCCAAACAGAGGTGTCTAGACATTGGTAAGAACCTAATTTAAAAAATGAACTCTATATTCCATAAAAAGTGTGTATTGATAGGCAAAAGAAGAGTCCAATAAACTAAAGAGTAACACCTGAGACACTGCTGGTGGACAGACGTTGGTAATTTTAATGATTCATTCCTGGTTTCACCGCCGACTGCCCTGATTAATCCTCCTGTGTCTGCACAGTTAAGTGGCTGGATGAAAGGGCAGTTTAGCAGGAGCTGACAGGAAAAGGTGTGTTGCTAAGGATTAATTCTGCAGCCTTTAAAACCTCAACGTTTCTTACAGTAACTTGGTGAATAAACATAACGTTGTATACTGTATAAACTGGTTTAGCTGTACATCTTTACCTGCTTTGGTGGAAAGCCACTACAGGAAAGAAACATCATTTAATTGTATGCAGAGGCCAAGGCTGAGAGACTGGGCTAATTGACTAGCAAAACAAATGGATTATGCCTAATTTGCATATTTAACCATAGTAGTGCAGAAAGCTTGTTACACAAAAGTATTGTCTTCGTTTAAATAATCAGAAGGAAAGGTTTCATGCTGATTTGTATTAGTTAAATTACCTACATTTTTATCCTAATCCCTGCAGTGTATTTTCTTAAATTAGTCACTAAACTCTCATTTTGTCACAGCTGACTACAAGGAGAGCTTCAACACCATTGGCAACATCGAGGAGATTTCCTTCAATGCCATTTCCTTCACCTGGGACACCAACGAGGAGGCCAAAGTAAGAGAATAAAATAGCCACATACTAACACACACAAACACACACAGCTTTATAGATACACAACTGATGGATAGAGCTGCTTCTACATCACTCATGTAAGAACAAGCACAGTTTCCATTTCTTGAACTCTTAATATGAGCCTTGACCTTTACATATACACACACAAATCCTTAAGACAGAAATAGACTCCTCCTCTATTTAAAGGTCTTGTGTGGTTTTTGCCACAGACCAGAATTAGGGTTTCAGGTGTTAACTTCCCTTTGTTAGTTATTATAAGCTTCTCTGTTCATTGTAATCGTACAAAACAATCGTTAAAGAACTTAAAGGAAATAGGGGCTTTAATAGAAGACTGAAGACGCTGTTACAAGGTTCCTCCCCTCCTCTGTGTGTTTAGCCTTGTTGCGTAGAGACATTGATCTATTGTGATGCTGCCTGTTAAGGTATTTCAGACGGGCGCAACAAAAGAGTGCAGGAATGAGGAAACTCAGCGGGGGGACAAGGATTGAGTTAGACAGACGGATAACAAATTAAACGGGTAGGAGAGGAGGACCTCCTGTCCTCTCTCCCTCTCTTCATTTTCCATTTTTTGTTGACCCTCGTGTCACTGATCCACTGTCAGCCTGAGATGGAGAACAAGCTAACAGACCAGAGACAACATGGCGCCACACACACACACACACACACACACACACACACACACACACACACACACACACACACACACACACACACACCAGGATGTGGGTCTAACTGTCTCATGACTTGAGGCCTTTGTCCATAGGATGTTCATCCTTGTGTGTGTTCAATTCTCCTCCGTGTGTATTTTCAGAAGCACCGCCCTTCCATGTTAGCTGTGTGTGTGTGTGTGTGTGTGTGTGTGTGTGTGTGTGTGTGTGTGTGTGTGTGTGTGTGTGTGTGTGTGTGTGTGTGTGTGTGTGTGTGTGTGTGTGTGTGTGTGTGTGTGTGTGTGTGTGTGTGTGTGTGTGTGTGTGTGTGTGTGTGTGTGTGTGTGTGTGTGTGTATGTGTGTGTGCAGGTGTGCACATGTGCGAGCAGGTGTATGCATATGCCCCCAGGCAACATACAGTATACGTATTTGCACATTGCAGCCCCTCCCTGATGTTTACCTGCTCTGGGGCAGTTTAATGATCTTATCACAAAAACACAACTGAAAGAAACCCAAAATACAAGAAAATGTTCATCTTTATAGCAATAATCGTTCATTCTAATGACTCCAATATTATTATAGCACACTTCAAGGTTGTAGAAAAATAAAGTTGTACTGTTTCTACACACAAATACAGCAAAACATTTAAAAGGAATACAACTATAAACAGTCTACATTCATGCTTATTTGTATAGAGTGTAATGTTTACGCTTCGAAATGTAACCAATCAACCAAATAAAAGTGCAAAGAATCAGGCATAACAAATTCATTTTTATTAAAAGAAGAATAAATGTAGCATTATTTTGGTGACAGACTTACTGTATATGAGTTCCTGACATTGAGAGACTCAAAATAACATACAATTTCAAATAAAAACAACCTTAAAGATGGAGTTGAGTTAACGGATGTAGTTTTATGTGAATTTTATTCCAACTTGACAGACTTTAATCTTAATAGTTTCACTATAAATAAAACCTGCTTTGTGTTTTTTACTGATAAATTGACTGTCTTTTTAATAATATTTATAAGACGAGGGATAGCCTACCACTTGCTTACCGATTTGGTTCCTCTCTGTTTGGTGCTTCCAAATGGTCTGTTATTAGAGTGTTTTGTTGACACAATGATAACCTGTTTTTAATACAAGCACCACGAGGACAAAGGAGCATCTCTTACGTTAGGACAAAATGAGCCTGTGATACTAAAGCTGACCAGTGGAGGGCAACACAGGACACTGGATGAGGGGGCTAAACTGCAGAAAAGGCCTTCAGTGATGCACAATGATGATGATAAAATAAAATCACACTGAACACCTTCTCTCACTTTCAGAAGTAGAGTTGACTTCAATTGACAAAGCTTCTAGATGTTTTCATTGGACGATGAAGTACTCAGTAATGACCATTATGCAGAAAGGTTATGTAATCAATGTAGTCGGGTAAAAAGTAGTTGCTGGAATAAGAGAAAAACTTAAGTACCTTAAATGTGTACTCGGGGACAGTGCAACTATGTACAGTCAAAGCAGTTTTTCTGTGTGTCTTAACCACAACATTCCTGCCTCCTTCCTCTTCAGATCTTCATCTCCGTCAACTGTCTGAGCACCGACTTCTCCTCCCAGAAGGGCGTGAAGGGTCTTCCTCTGAACATCCAGATTGACACCTACAGCTACAACAACCGCAGCAACAAGCCCATCCACCGCGCCTTCTGCCAGATCAAAGTCTTCTGTGACAAGGGGGCCGAGAGGAAGATCCGAGACGAGGAGAGGAAGCAGTCCCGCCGGAAAGGGAAGGTCCCAGATCTCAACCCCAGCCTGGCCTGTGAGTCCCTCAGGAGAACCTAACATGTGTATAACAACAAATATGATCTGTAATTTCGTACTAATTCTCACCGTAAATGACCTTTATCAGTTCAAGAGTTCTATTTTTTTCTCTCAAAGATACACTAATATATACTTTTATGCAAACAATGCGTCCACTTAAATGTCTAATTAGAGATTGAAGTGATGATTTCACTGAGAAATATCACATGACTCAGCACTTCCTTTCAACCGTGGAGCATTTATTATCTTAAGACTTAGATATTTCCTTCAGGAGTTACTGGAAACAACACACAAAGAGAGAGCAAACATTTGACTAATTTGTGTATATAGACACACAACTTCATAATAACTGATGGTCCTCAGAGTTTGTTCGATGTGTAATGGAGCTGCAACAATTAGCCGATCCACGGAGAAATAATCCCCCACTATTAATTTTTAAACTAAGTAATTTTTTATGAAAAAGTGATTGAAAATGTTGCTTCAGGCATCTCAAATATGGACATTTAGAGATAAGAAGATACATCGAAATATAGAAATAGTAAACAGTTTAATTGATAATGAAAATAATTATATTTTAAGACCTCAATGTGTGAATAACCAACTTTTAGGTATAACACATTTGCTGTAACAACCATATCATGAAACTGTCCATGTTTTACGGTGTGCTGCCCCCAAGTGGACATAATAATATATTAATAGAGGTTGTTTTTGAAGATTTCCCTGTGCTTAAATAGAGGCTTTATAAATGACTTGACTATTTTTGTTTTGTATTTTCCTCCCAGTTGTGGATGTTAAAGGTCCCATCCTCCAGAAACGCAACGATATGACCATCTTCAAGATGCTGAACGACCACGAGACGCAGCCTGTCCTCTTCATCCCTGACGTTCATTTCTCCACCTTCCAGCGCCATGTGAGTGCCAGTCACATTACACATTACTAACTCTAGCACATCTCACCAGTCATTTTTTACCATCAACATTTTGTTTTGCTACATTTACATAACATCCGTAGCATCTTAGATGGTCCATAAACATGTTCTGCCTCCACCCACTCAGCCATCTGGGTCGAGGTGACCTGGCTGCCTGCTAGTTGTCAGGAACAGGGAGTCCTTGTTTCAGCACTGATGGATGGATTTCAAACTGCTTACTCAAATAATGAATCATTAACCAGTGATTGAAAACCAACCCAGGATATGCTTCCCTGTAATGCCGACTCAATGTGAAGATGCTTAATGGGACAGAGTTTCCCCCCAGTCACGCTTCAAGCATGCAAGCAGTCTGTCAGGTTTTATCTTCTCTGTGACTACTGAACTTTGGTTCTTCCAATCAGGATGAACACATCACATGACACAGCAGTGTGTGTGTGTACGGGCCTGCCCTCTGTGTTTTAGAATCTTAATTTATAATGAAAACATAAAAAAAGTTTCTCCCTTTCGTTCCCTCTCAGTTAATAATGCTACCGGTGAGGGAGGGACAGGTTATTTTGGGTCCTTTCGAAGACATTGAACCTGGCTCGAGTGCTATCAGTTTCGGAAAAACTCTGAGTTTACTGGGTTCCCTCTTAGAATAGAAATCTATTAACAGCATTGCAAGCACTCAATACAGTGGGAGAGCCGAATGGCTCCAAAAAACAACTGCTTTCCAAGAATTACATCAAGAAAACAAGTGGTTGAAGTGATTTGATGCACTCTGTGGATTACTTTGTAACATTATACTTTTATATAACATTGGACTATACATATACGAAAGGAGCCAGTTGAGGTGGTTCGGGCACCTAGTTAGGATGCCACCTGGGCGCCTCCCTAGGGAGGTGTTCCAGGCACGTCCAGCCGTTGAACAGTTTATGTCTTTATAAGTTTCACGAGATGTAATTCTTACTTCTTATGGTAAATTAATTGAAATATTCTTTCGATTTAAGACCTTTTGACACATTTTATCGGCTATGTTACAGTATGTTTATGTCTTTTGCTATATATAACTACACATTAAACATATCAGGTAGGTAGGGAGGTAGGTAGGTAGAAGAGGGCGCAATAGGCCACAAGCCCAGCGCCGTCCATCGTCCAAAGGTCGTCTCTCGTGGGTTTGAAAGAAAGGGACCGGTGTAGTTGGTCGAGACTGACCGCCCCTAGGGTTCCGTGCAGGGTTCCGGTGCTTCTCTAATATTAGGGAGGTGGACCAAGATCCTAGATGGGGAACCNTTACCCAAGAACAAATCCCAAAGGAGAAAAAACAATGATTATTTCAGAATCTGTTTCAAAACTTTGTGAGTGGTTTTTACTTTTTATATAGCCAGTTGAGTAGCACTTGAAATGTTTGGCTCTATGAAATCTGATGTACTTATATGATTCTGTTTTCTTCAAGGTTGTATCTTCCTGGTCGAATGTACTTATTGTAAGTCGCTTTGAATAAAAGCGTCAGCTAAATGCGATGTAATAAATATATGAATGTATTCTAAAAACAGGGATTAAGGCCCAGTGTAGCAGGACAGTTTAAAGGTGGTGTATGTTGGTTGTATTATGTCACGGAGGGAACCTGAGACAGCGCAAATCACTTAAAGATGTTTTTCTACCGATGCAACACAAAGACCTCCACACAGCCTCCCTCATGTTTGGCCATCTTGACCACATTTAGGTCTGCCCACCCAAAACAACAACCTCTTAAATTCCTCAGCCTTTGCTTCACTGCCACTGTGGAAGCTCCACACAAGAAACAAGGCAGAGTCCACAACATGAATACAATTATAGTGCACAAAGGACTTTTTTCTAGTGATTGATGAAGCCACCTCCCTAAACACTATGCCTCACACATTTTTGGATGAAAGATCAACAGTATTACAACAGAGGCACTTTAGAATACAGCACTATGGAGCAATGTGGTGGTGGCCTGCAGCCTTCTCAGCCATACATTCTACTCAATTGCACCTTTGATAGTTCAGTTTCTTCTTAAGGTAAAGAAGTAAACTGTACATGTATGTTTAGCACTTAGCTTTACACAAGGTTAGTGATTTGTATGTACTGTCGTTGTGTTAAGAATTGGTTCCCTAGAAAATGTATTTATTTTATACTCATTTGCAAAGGTGGCACTTTCAAGAGTCAATTTTAGTTTAATGGTTTGGTATGAATGGTAACAAATTCATTACCCTTGGTCATACATGTTTGTAATGTAGAAGTGTTAGAAGTCCAAAATCAAAAAGCGAAGCAATCTGAATAACCAGACCCTCTGCAACTTAAATGTAAGTGCATGTCTCCAGTACAAGATAAAAGAAAGTGCTGCATTATCTGTGTGTGAAAAAAGGGACGGCCCAGTGACTCCAGTGGCACCAACCTCTCCTGACAGGCCAGTCCACCAGCACTTTACACTCCAGATGAGGGCATTCAAGGACTCGTTAATTTGCATATCAAGCCCATATAGGCGTGGACGCAGCCCCTATATTGCTCCTTGGGGCTCTGTCTCATGGAGATTAGTCTGGACACACAGTGAAAGCCATGTTCATTCTATATCTACTGCACACAGCCCCTAACAGCACAGTATACACTCCTTTTTTGCAGCATGCTATAGTAGCACCATGTAAAATCAGGTCATAGAAAAGCAATGTTGTAAGTAAGTAAAGTTTATTTATAAAGCGCTTTTCACAGACAAAGTCACAAAGTGCTTGACAAAACAATAAAACATCATCATAGGAATCGTACAATGATAAATGGACACCGGTGTTAAGAAGTCATAAAAGCACCAAAACATAATAAAAACACAATGAAAACAGACTGAAAACGTAGTATAAAATAGAATAAAATCAAGCACACCGGTTACCCAAACAGGAATGTCTTTAAATTAGCTTTAAAGGAGTCAGCAGACCATAGATGGGCGGGCAGAGCGTTCCATAGCTTAGGAGCCACGGCTTCGAACGCTCAATCACCGCGGGTCTTAAGGTGGGTACGTGGGACAGACAGTAAATCGTGCACGTGGGACCTGAGTGGGCAGTCTGATGTATATGGATGTAAGGATTGTTATAAGATGTTTTATCAAGGTTGCTCATTGAAAAGCATCAGAAAATCAGCTACTTTGATGTGAATACTTCCTCAACTACTCATCAAATAAAACTGAAGTTTCCCACAAAAGGAAAGGTTGGAGAATGTTTTGGTAGTGGATATAAAATAACACACATAAATAAATGAATTTGATGCATATAACTCATACTAAGTTGACAAATAAAAAAAGCTGCAATATATAAATGACATGTCATATAATACATGTTTATTAATAAAAGGGATGAACCAATTACAAAATATGGAACCAATATTATATATGAGCTAGAATGGCCACACTTCTTGATGGAATAAAGCTGTAATAATGGACATTTTGTGGAAGATGAAACCTTCCACCACACCTGCATGAGAGGTGACGCAATACAGCATCTTATTGTCCTCTGCCTTCTATATAAATAATTTCTTAGTATTGTTGCAGAATGTATTTCGGAGAGGGACCACTAACCCTCTAGGCACAATAATTCCTCATTTTTATATCTAATTTGCTGGACGAATGAGATGTCGGACTAGCCAACGGAGCAGAGCAGCAGCATTGATAAGAAAGCAGTGTGTGAGGGATCATGCTGCGTACATATCTGTGTGACCTTTGATGTTCTGTTACAGACAGAGCAGAATTCCACCGAACACACACTCTATTGTGCCTTGTACCTTAGGTTAGGATATTTATGTTTGATACAGTACTGCCAAAAAGCAGCCATCCCCATTATTTACCAAACCAGAGGAAGGCTCAAGTGTCTTGGTGTGAAATCTCATAATCTCCTCTCCAGATATTCAAAAGTAATCTGTAAGCACAGTATCTGCAGTGAGAAATGCAAAATGAAGCCTTTGGTTTGTATGTTATATGATATAATCTGTATTGTTATTTTAGCCTGCAAGGACAAAAGTTGTTTAAATTGCTTTTTTTATTTTAGTATACCTGACTTCCTATATTGTAAGACCAGTTCAACATTAGAAAATAAAACAAAATCATATAAGAACAGTCCAATAAAGGAAAATAAAGTTAGATTATCATTGCAGACTGAAAGTGGGGGAACAGCTAGCCTGGGTTGGTGCTGAATTTTGTAAACAGGTGCTGCTATACATCCCTGCTATACACTTAAAGGGGCCCTTTTATGCACATTTTCAGGTTTATATTTTGACTTTGTGATATTTTTACTTTGACTACTGTGACAACATGCTTTAATCTTCCAACAGGAAACCAATGGAGGCCTTTCAGGCAACTTTGGGATTTGAGCCTTTGCAGAGCATTTGCATAAACCTATATAAAACACACTACAGGGAAGGGAGAACCACAACAAGCACAAAGGGGCCCCTTTAAAAATCCTTTTGGCTGGCTTCTAGACATTTGTTTTAGTTCTAAATTCTAAAAAACTGCAACGCATGTCATCATGACATTTTGGCAGCCTATTTTCTACCTACCTGCTGTCTGTAAATTGGACTACAGTATATTTCACAAAATGTTGTTTTTCTGCAGAGGCGTTTGCGGTTCAGCGGTAGATCATGTTTTTTGTTTTGTAAATTGCAAGATAGAATATGTTCTCACAAATCAAACTAAAGGAAAAATACAAGAGGAGATTAAACTCGACTTCATTTTTTATTATAGATCCATCTCATTTCACAGTGGGAGTACTACCAGGAGGCTCAGATGATAATGATCTGCAGTATTATGAGTGTACTGTTGATATTCCAAGTCATTATCACAGTCTCCAAGCTACGACTGCAGCCTTCAACCTTAAATCAGTGGCAAAAAGAAGGATTTAAAGTGTCTTCTTACTGGAACCGCCTCGGGCTAAGCCGATGACAGCATCAAACAAACAACGGAAATCATGACGACCCGCAGCAGCCTGCTCGGGCTGTAAATGATTTCAGTCTCAGAGGGGAGCATGATGGTAATGACACCCTATTTCACCCTAGATACGCACACAGAAATAG